AATTATTAAAAAGATTAATTTATTATTAAAAAATTTAATTAATAGTATATAAATTAAAATTATCTTTAAATTTTTTAGACCAATTAGGACTTATTAGGACTTTTACCAACCCTAAGTATAGGCTATAACATGTTCTTTAGAATCAATTCCTTTTTGTGATAATATTGCTCCTAACGCAAAGTTGAAGCATCCGTATATAGAATAAAGGGTTTTTCAAAATTAGGATAAGTTAATATTGGAGGTGTCATTAAGCATAATTTGAGTTTTTCAAAAGCTTTTTGCTGATATTTCGTCTATTGATAATAAACATTCTTCTTTAAGAGTCAGTGCAAAGGTTCAGCTATTGTTAAAAATCCTTTAACAAACTTTTAGTAATAAGAGGCTAACGTGATAAAACCTCTAAGCTGGGTCAAATCTTTTGGTGTGGGTAATCTTTTATTACTCTTGATTTCTCAGAGTCAGTCTAAATTCCTTCTTCACTTATCACATGACCTAGAAAAGGTAACTTTTGCTTAAAGAAGAAAATTTTTTTGGGCTTAACTTTAGTCCAGCATTTCTTAACTGTATAAACACTTGCTTTAAATGCATGAGATGTTCTTCGAAAGTTCTTGATCTGATATTAATGTCATCAACATATACAACAATAAATTGCCATAATATGTCTCTTAAAATGGTGTCCATTAAGCATTGAAATGTGACAGGCGTATTACACAGTCCAAATGGCATTACGCTAAATTCATAGGTACTGAATTTAGTTATGAAAGTTGTCTTTTCCATATCCTTGGAATCCAATTCAACTTGCCAGAATCCACTAGCAAGGTCAAGAAAAGTAAACCAAAAAGATCCTGATAAAGTTTCCAACAAATCATCTATCCTAGGTAAAGGGTAACAATCTTTTTTGATTACTTCATTTAGTTTTCAATAATCTACGCAAAGCCATTTTTTTCCATTTTTCTTTTCTACAACCACAACTGGGGAGGTGCATTTACTATTCAAAGGTTTGATCAGTCCATTCTTTAATAACTGCTAAATTTCTTCATTAATAAATTCCTGATTTTTGTGAGAAGCTCTGTAAAATCTCTGTTTGATGGGTTCTGCTATACTGGTATTAATTGAATGTTTAATAACAGATGTTCGCCCAAATTCATCTGAATCCTAGACAAATAAATCATTGTATTCATGCATGAATGCTTTAAAGGTTTTCTTTTGTTCCATATTCAATTCTCCAATATGGAAATTTTCTTTCTCAATCTCTTCATACTGATAATATGATTCTTTGGGTATTGTATATCGCCGATTTGCTTAATTATTTCATTTTCAATTTATTCAGATTCCTCTGTAGATATATATTGGTTAAAAAAATATACTTGTTCTTGTAAATCAGCTTCTTCCTCATATTCTTCATCTGTATCACTATCATTGATGATATGTTTTTCTTGTTCATTATTTTCAATTTCTTCTTCATCAATCTTTTCGAGAATACGATCATGTGGTAATTGATAGCATTCAACTAGTACATTAATGTTTTCATTATTCCAAAGCAAGGTTAGTAGCCCTTTTCTATAATCAATTATTGCCTGTATTTCTTTTAACCAGTCATTTCCTACAATAGCAGCATAGGATTCAGCTTCTGTACTACTGTATCAAAAGAAATTATGTGGTTATTAATTTTTAAAGAAATTTTAGTTACTGCTCCTGATGGTCTTCTTTTTTCTCCATTGACATTGATAATGATAGTTTTCGATGCTTGTATTATTTTCATATCCAAATCCTTTAGTAACTTCAGGGATATAATACATTCTGCAGAACCAGAATTAATTATAAGAGGTATCTTTAATCTGTCTATATATGCGTTGCATTACAATGCCGTTGCTTTCTTTGTGATGTCATTTTTTGACAAATTGGATTCCATGTTATTAGCTTTATTGGGCTTTTCTTCCACAATAATTTGCTCTTTAGGTTTTTTTGTTATGGGCTTTTGTATCGCTTTCATTACAGCTTGCCTAAATTTTAGATTCATCACAATTAGTTGGCCATTTGTAATATTCGCGGGTTGATCAAAAAATCTTTGTGGTATATAAGGATCAACCATACCATTTATAGGCAGCACCAAAGATGACTTTCTTTTCAACAGTTTCGTTTTAACCTTTTTATTTGCTTGTTGACTGGTTAATTACTGGACCTCTTCTTCGTCATCATTTCTCTTTTATTTTCAGTTTCTTTATAATACTCGTAAGGAGTTTCTTGAGCGACCTTAGATTGTATTCTCATTGCTGGATATGCTTCAAATAATGATAAATTCGAGGGAACAACCAATGGTTCTGTACCTTCACCCTCATGAGGTATACTATTTAGTTTAAATGCTGTTCTTAGGTGTCATTCTATACCAGTTGTGATAATAACTGAAGTAACTGCGGTTTCTGTATTTTATTATTCACTGTATTAGGAGTATTATTTAGTATTGGTGAAACTGGAGGATCATATTCGTGTCATTGCTTCCTGAAGTTTGATTATGCTGAAAGGCTAGATTATCATAAGAAATATTAAAATTATTAGGACAATTTCTTCTTATGTGTATAGGCTGTTTCATAAATAACAGATAAGATTGTTTCATTGAGGAGTAATAGCAGGAAACACATTGTTTGTCTGAAAGTTTTGTAGTCTCTGGTATCCATTATTCTTTTGATACCTATAATTTCTGTGATATTCATTATTACAGAAGTTCCTTCTTCCAAAATTCATTTGCTGGATTTGCTGTGTCAAATTAGCTATTGTGAACGAATAAAATATGATGAGACCTATATGACTATACATGAAGTCGAAATGGATCATTTCGGATATCCGAAATGGTTGAAATGGTCGAAATCATTTTTTTTTTTTTTT